ATGGAGGCCCTTGTCAATGTGAAGAAGGTATAAGATTCAAGCAGCCTGGAATGTTAGGCCAACTGAAGGATCATGGCTGCCCTGGAGGGCTCTGAGAACCTATAGTAAGATTTGTATGAGTAAGAAGTAAGGTTTGTTGTGTAAGTCACTGTGTTTTGGGGGCTGATTGTTATTGGATGGTAACTCAGCTCATCCTAATATGGTTAGGTATAGAGTTGCCCCAACAGTTAGTAAGTGGTAGAGCCCGTTTTTAAAATTATAGCCTGCCTTTGCATTCTTAATCACAACACACACACATTTTCTAATTGCCCCCTCTTAGCACCTCATGATTGGGAACACTTCCAAGGAATGTTGACAATTATAAAGTTTTGTTTCTGTTTTTCTTTCTCAGAAAGCATGTTTGAAATATCTCATTTTTCAAAGTTGTAGTTTATAAACAACCTTTTACCAAACTTTATGTTTTATAATATATATAATATATATATACATACATTGTGTATATATATAATACATATGTATATTATACATGAGTTTTTTGAAAGTTGTAAGCCTTCCCCTTAGCCATAATCTCATTTTCTTTGCAATATCCTCCTGCGCTAAAAAAAAAAAAAAAAAAGAAAGAGTCACCCTAAATGCCTTTCAAGTAACCAGGGTAACATTTAGGAGTCTGGGGAGAAAGATTTCTAAGAAGCCCCTTTGTGCCTTAGCTTTACTCAGTTCTTGTGAATAAGCCTTGCTCCTCTTGTCTCATTTATGATAAATCTTTATATCTTCAATTATTGAAAATCCTGTCTGCAAATTACTTATTAATGCAAATTTAAATTGATTTAAATTGACATTATGATTACACCAGAACAGCTTAAGTGAAGACGTTATTTACTGTCCAACTGCTGCTTTGGTTACTTTGAAACATATAGCATTAGAGACTATAAAACAACCTAGAGAGAATTTCATGGAAAAAATTTTGTTAGGCTTTTAGTTTATGAAGTCCTTGATGTGATTGTACCTTTGCAAAGAACTGCAGGCAACTCATTTTTCTAAAAGTCTACATTATATCTGAAAATCCTCAAAAAGTAGGAAACAGCATAAAAAATTCTGGCTGAACATGGTTAAATAACGTCCTTAGCAATGCAGAGCTTTGGCAATAAAAAAGTAACCACAGAATCAGATGGAAACATTTAGTCTTGTATTATGAAAATTTAAAAAAAAGCATCACAGATAATCATGAAGATATAACATTTCTTTGTTTCTAAAAATATAGGATGTAACCAAAACATTTTAAAGGAGTGGCCCAGGTCAAGACTCTTACGAACTTACCATCAAAGCTCAAGAGAAAGATATCATAAATTATCCAATACATATGCACACATATACATAATATGTAAAGTCTAGAATTTATGAATATAAATATATATAATACACATATAAATTTATAACATATATGAATATATATATGTAAAATACAGATTGTATTAAACATATGCATACTCTGCTTTAGCTGATAGTTTCCAAAAAAAGTCACTAGCAATTTGGTGTCACAGGAGAGCCCAAATGCTGTGATTTATTTTCTTCTTTTTCAAAGTCTCATCAGAAACGTACAATATTTAAAACTGTCTAATAACTTTGAATAAGGACACACATTTAACTTGGCGCCAAGTCAGAGAGACTAACTTCATATATATATGAATAGGTATATATGTTAATGTAGAACAGTTACGGAGAGAAATAGGTTTACTGTTAATGGTCATTCTTTTTATTCATTCTGGGCAAAGATCTTGACCATGGTAGTTCTGAAGGTCCACCTAGTCATATAATAAAGATTATATCTGGAGGAGAGCGGTGGGAAGCATTGAGTGGACTGAGAATGACTGAATCCACTCCATAGAGTAAAAATATAAACAATATATAGTTATTCTAACCATAATTATACAGTGTAAACTTTCATTCATTCATTCATTCAACATTCGTTTGAGCGTCTCAAGTTCAGACAATGTGCATTAACGGTAAACAGAACATTACAGTTCCTGCCCTTATGAAGCTCATGGTCTAGTTATTTTTCATACTATTTTCTTCCCTAAATTCCTCTCTGAAAATAATCTCTCATCCCAAGGGGGTCCACACAATAAATATTTAATGCTTAGGATGAGAATATCCTTATGCACAACAAATTGACCAAGTCTTAAATTAGTAATGAAGTAATACAGGAGGGCCCCTGTACCTTATTTTTTGGGCTACAAGGTTTCAAAGAAATTATTTCAACATCTCAGTATCTTGAGGATAGAATAATATCCTCAGCTCAGTACTATGACTATAAGTGATATATGAAGCAGTTCTGATATTATTTTTTAGTTTCTTTGCACTGGGGAGCTGGTGAAATCTCTTAAGTAGCTATGAGAGTAGTTCTTGGTTCTGGTCCAGATTTCCCTTCATCCCGCATGGCCCATGTTATGCTGATCCTTAATTTTTATGTGACCATCCCCCCCCACTCAGCCCCACCACCACCTCCACGTCGTTCGTGACCCATACCAGTGTTTGCTGGGACTTTGCTGCCTTTTAAATAAAGCCTTCCTTAGTATTTCAGAAACTTCTCAGTCTCTACATCT